GACTCAAATTGGGTATACTACCTAAACATTAAGAAAATAGCAGGTAACATGGTAGTTAAGGTGCTGGATTCCTTCATGGCCAACTGCAGTTGGAGTCCCAGACCCAGTGGCTTGAAAATCATGCTGGGTGTGTGTGTGTGTGTGCACGCCCAAATTCCAAGAGGAGAATGAAGGAGAAGGGACTGTAGTCTGGCCATGCCTCCAGAAGGGTGATTTCTCACCATTTCTCTGTCTCTTTCTGGGGAACGTATGTCTCCTATGGCAAAAATCTAAAAGAAGTGAGTGGCACAGTGATTGAAGGTGCTGGACTCCCATATGGTCGACTGTGATTTGAGTCCCAGACCCGGTGGCTTGCTTTCTCACTTTCCCTCTCTCTCTCTCTGGTCAAATTTTGAAAATAATAATAATAATTTTTTTAAAAAAAGAAGAAGAAAGGAAAGAAAGAAAATACTTTCGGAAATTGCTTTCCTCACCTGTAACTCCTTCATACCACTCTGCCCAGTCTTTCCACAAAGAATTGCCTACTATGCAGATGCATGTGTCGTTATCCATTGGGATAATTGCTAAACTGGAAATTACTTTAAATTCAAGTATTTCGTTCATGTAAAATAGATGCTGTAAAATGGCACTCAAAGCCACACATATTAGATAAGTGCAATTTAAAAACATCAAAATGTCGTTTTGGTCTAACAGATTGACAACAGTTTTAATAACTGAAAACATTCAGTACTGTTGAGGGTGTGAGGAAACAGTTCCACTGATCAGTCAAAAAATAGTCAAAATTATTGACACGAGTTTGGTAGATACCTGGTAGTATCTATTTTAAAAACTCAGTATTGGGGCTGGCAGGTGGCATGGTGGATAAGGGAACTGGCTCCCACATGGCCAACCACAGTTTGAGTCCCAGACCTGGTGGCTTGCTTTCTCACTTTCTCTTTCTCTCTCACTCTGTCCCTCTATGGTCAAATTAAAATAAATAAAGTTAAATAAAATAATTATTTTTTTAAAACTCAGTATTTATGCAAATGAACCTGTCAGTCATTAAAACAATAAAACTGATCTGTAAAGAGGGTAAAAATGAACAGAGCATATGATGATGACTAAATGTAACATAGACATATTGGTACACAGTTGATTTGGGAATCCCTTTTGTGATTGCTGTCTTGATTTACTTATAGCGATTAGACAATAGTTATTTCCCATTATTTAAAAATCAATTATGTCAATTAATAAGTACTGATACAACCTTCTACTTATGGAAAACTTTTAAAATGGATTTATTGGCTGTTCTCACCTACTATAAACACACACACACACACACACACATGCACACACATATTTTAGCCAATAGCATCAAGGTCTTTTACAGAGAAAAGCTACCTGCTTTTGGCAGGTTAAGTGGAGAAGTGAGTTCCTTCCTTCCTGAAAGGCAGCAGAAGTTTCTAGGCTCTTTCAGCTGAGCTTCTGAAAGCTCATGTGGAAGAAGCCCTTGATGAGACAACTGCACTATGCTATTTGCTTCATGCTCAGCATCTGTAGGTACACTTCTGGCCCCCCTATCTGCTTTCCTTTATCACTAAACGCTGAAGAATGGTGATTGTTCTCTTGCCTTCACTTTCTTACCTCTCGTATTTTCAGCTTAATGCCATTTGCTCTCCACTGTCCAACTAAGCCCTTCAAGGAAGAACAAAACCGGACCCCAAAGTGGCCAGAGGTAGGCATTGGTTACTGCATGCCCAAGGTTGGTACAGAGGAGCCAAAGGGATGAGCTTAAGAGAAAATTGAGGTCTAGATCCTGGGGAAAGCAGAGTTCAGAGCTATGAGAACAAGAGAAAAGAGAAGCAAATTAGGCCAGGGGTTGGTAGAGAGGCCAGTGTCCAGGCAGGCAATTACCCTACCTCTCACTGGCAGTTCATCTGAATTTTCTTTAATAGATATAAAGTATTCAAGTTACTTGACTTTTCATAATTTGAGTTCTAGTGATCTGTGGTTTTCAAGGAGTTGGTCAGTTTTATCTAAACTGTCTGATTACTGAGTAGAATTGTTCATAGTACTCCCTTCTTACCCTTTTAATGTCTGTAGGATCTGTACTGTTACCATCTCTTCCATTCCTGACACTGGCAAGTTGTATTCTTTTTTCTTGGCCTGTTTGGCTACAAGTGTCATTTTTATTCATCTCATCTGTAGCTCTTTTCTTTTATTGCCGGAGAGAGCACCCCAATTGCAATGGGGCCTAATTATACTGCAATGCATTTTCCTCCATTTCTCCACTCAGTAAAACTTGGGGGACACACACACATATCTCAGATGTTTTTCAAGCTGTCAGGGCCAGGATTTGAACTACAGTTAGCTCTGTGATATCCATTTCTCAATACATTGCACTTAATCATTACACTATAGGGCTGACCTCCTTTTTCAAATACGAACTCTAACAATCCTTTTTTTTTTTTTTTGAGAGAGGGTTTTGCTATAGGGTGCATGCACTCGCCAGAGAGACAGAGAAAGACAGAGAGACAGAAAGCGAGAAATCACCCCTCAGGGTGGATGGCCACGCCGCAATCCCTTCTCCTCCATTCTCCTCTTGGGATCTTGGGCACGCACGCACACGCGCCCAGCATGAATTTAGGCCACCGGGTCCGGAACTCGAACCACAGTCGACTATGTGGGAGTCCAGCGATATAGCCATTATGCTAACTGCTGGTCCCATCTAACAGTCTTTTTTTGTACTCAGATGATTTGATTTCCCTTCATCTTTTGCCAATTTCAGAGACTCTGACTTCTGTGACATTACCCTCCCTCTCTCAGTCTGCTTTATTAACAATTCATTGTCATCTTTCAAAATTCTGCCCGGGTCTTCCGCTTTTCACTTTGAAATTTTTGTCTTAACAAGACAATCTTCATTTTCATCATCTCCTTACTTAACCTACAAACTGACAAATTACAAATGTCTATCTCCAACCAGGCCTGTGTCTCAATGTCTATTTCTAACTCTCTCCTGTCTGTCTAGATCTATTATTTCTAGCTTCAGCTAATGAAACCATCATTTCTGCTAAAGTTGAAAACCTTGTCACCATAACTCATTCTTATCCTTTAACTTCTCCACCCAGCTGATAATCAAATCCCACTTTCCCTTTAAAATATCTCTCTGTATCTATGCACCTATTGTGAGCCTCTCCCCCACCTGGATTTCTGTGACCTAGCACTGCCTGAATTGCAGCTTTTTACAGTGCTGGACCAGTCTGTTCTGAGCCACTGACCACATAAAAATCAGAGCTGTCGGTGCCAGTAGGTGGCATCATGGTTAAGGTGCTGGACTCCCACATGGTCGACTGTGGTTTGAGTCTCAGACCTGCCAGCTTACTTTCTCACTTTCCCTCTCTCTCTCTCTCTCTGCTGACCTCACAAGCCCTGTAAGAAATTTTTAAAATAATAATAATAAATAAAATTAAATCATTCTTTTTTAAAAAAATATTTTATTTAACTTAATTTATTTATTTTAATTTGACCAGAGAGGGACACGGTGAGAGAAAGTGAGAAAGCAAGCTGCCAGGTCCAGGACTTGAACCACAGTCAGCCATGCCATGTGGAGTCCAGCGAACCCAACCACCACGCCATCTGCCAACCCCAAATAAATAATTCTTTAAAAAAAAACAGAGTAGTCTTTTAAAAAACAAAGCCAGCATCCTGCCTTTCTCTTTCAGTGCTCTCTGTTGACCTCAGGATAAAGTCAAGCAATCACCTTTATGAAGTAAATTGACGTGTTCTTACATCAAAACAGCCAGATTGTATTTTGCAATGACTGTGCGAGTCAGAACCCTGCAAGGCGTAGCAGGGCAGTCGTCACCTGGGGTCCTCCACAGAGCTGCAGCCAGAAGTCTGCCGAGCTGCAGACACACAGGAGCTTGCCGTGGCTGGATGGCCAGGATGGCTCAGCCCCACGGCTGGCAGTTGTTACCGACTTCCAGCAGGAGTCCTGCTGGGACTGTCCCCCCAGGACATGTAGCCTCTCACACGTGGCTGATTTCCTCCAGAGTAAGTGTCCCAAGAGAACCAGACAGAAGCTTCCCAGGCTTGCAAGTGCTAGAGCATCATTTCCACCATACTCTACAGCCTCTGGCTTCAGACAGACTCCACCTCTCGACGAGGGCAGTGGTGAGGTCACACAGCAGGGGGTATGTGGAGCACTTGATGCAGGTGGGGAATGGTGTGGTGGCCATATCTGGAAAACATCTTCGGCCACAGCCATCCTGCTAAGATAGCCATACTTATAGCACGCCACGTGGGGAACCTTGTTGAAGGTAAATACCTTCAACATGGAAAACTTCTCTTTGGGGTCAATGGAACCCTTATGCACTGAATGTCCAGGAATAGGTGAGCTTTACTGGGAAAATAGGCAGATTCTTTTTTTCTTTCTTCTTTTTTATTTTTTTTAATTTGCCACAAAGTACTTATGTTCACCAGACTGAGACAGAGAGTCAGAGAAAGAGGGAGAGGGAAAAAGCATCCACCATGGCACGTGGTCATGCCATAATCCCTTCTTCTCCATTTCCCCATCCTGTCAGGATCTTGGGTATGCATGCACACGTACCTGGTGTGTTTTTCAAGCTGCTGAGCCTAGCGCTTGAACTCCATGGTCATCCATGTGGGATCCAGTTCCCTTAACCCCTAGACCATGGGACTGGCCTAGGCAGATTCCTCTTTGTGTTTTATTTGAAGTTACTTTACTCGGTGTGGTACCAAGGACGTGTGCTTTCAGAAACGCCTCAGTAGTAAAGGCATAACTTTGTAGCTACACAGAACCAAATGGATATCAGCAGATGGGTTAGTCCCTCAAATTATGTCTTCAAGGGGAACTAGAACATCTCCAAATAGAGTCGTACTTGGAGTTTTCTTAAAACGTTTAATCTATGATCATTTAAAGTAAGAATGGGTGATTTAAAGGTTCTCTTGAAAGTGAGCTCCCAGAGAAGTTTAGTTACCAAGGCACTGCTCAACCTCACCTGGCTCTGCGAACGTGCAGCTGAGGGTAGTGGCTGTGTCTGTGACATATGTGCACCGCGAAATCCTCCTCGAACGTCAGACACGGCACATTCCCCACTTGGTCAAAAACAGTTATAAGAGTCGAGCCTAAATCACAGAAATAAAGAAACATGGCCTCCTTTTATCAAGAAGTGACTTTGGAACTCCAAAATAAAATGTCATTTCCATTCTAAATTCCATTTTAATTGTTTTAATCAAATATGCACATGATACCTTTAGGACCTGTAGACAATTCTTATTTTTCTTTAACTTATTTCATTTCTCCCATAACAGAAGGAGAGACAGCGAGAGAGAGAGAGGGAAACTGACATCCCCCACAGGGTCTTCTTAATATGATCCACCCCAGGCCTCAGGCAGCCTGGACCATGGCTATACACACATGTCCAAAATACACAGAGAGGCCTCCGGTGCAATCCCAAGTCCTTCCCATGTGGGCCCAGCACTGCGGAGTGCTGCGTGATGCTGCACCACCGCCTGGTCCCACAACCTGAAGACCAGTGGTACTTCCCAGCCCCAAAAGTACCATTCTGAGAATGAATTTCCTGTGCAGGGTACGGGGACAGGTGGTGGCTGAGAGGGCCTTACCTAGACTCATATAGGATGGCACTATGAGAAATATGAAGTGCAGCTCTGGCACGGCTTTAAACACGGTCCTGGTCGACAAATAAAGGGTGGGAATGGGAGTTAATAGCAAAGCAATCCCATTAGCTGGCACCTTATAGCAGCAAATGACATCACTAAAAAAAAACCAAGGTGTTCATCAATCCCCCTGGGTGCCTTTGTTCCCTGCTTACATAAGCAAGAACCTCTCTAAGCCAATTTCTTTCTCTTCTCTACTTTTGTGTGGATTCCCAAGGGTGCCTTTTCTACCTATCCCATGGAGGCAAAGAGAATAAAGGATGTTCATGTAGCACAGCAGATTTCTGCTGATTTTAACCTTTGACCTGGCATCTGGACTGTCTGGTGTGACATTTCAAAGTGCCTTGAAAGCCGAGCCTCCCCCTGCCCCAAGCCTGTCTGTGCAGGCTGTCAGAGATGCTTGGCCATGATGTGGCGGTCCTAAAGATTGTATTTCTATGTGTCCCATTATTCAGGATGCTTCTGCAGTCTGTCCTGCTAGTAAAGGTTTTTTTTCTTTTTTTTTAAATTAAAAGACAACTATTTTTGGAAACATCCAAGTTTGTGAAACTTAAGCAGTCCCCTAATTCCCCCCAAATAAGTTTCTTTCAATGACTGCACTACCTATTGGCTTCAAACGACAACAGGGAAAGATAGAGAGTAAATTCAAATAATTGTGTTAAAAATATTGCTGCTATTCAAAGTAAATGCTTTAAGATAGCCATAGATTAAAAGCAAATGAAATGCCTCCAAGGAATTCACATCATTTAAAAATATTTCAGAGCTATCCACATGGTCTCTTTCAAGTTCCTCACCTGTAAGCGCCCCCCTCCACTCACCGAATAATCTCTTTGCAACAGCCGATGGAATACTCATCCACAGCCACAAAGAGATGCAGGAACAATGTGTTCAGGGGCTGCACGAGAAAAGAGAAGAGGATTAAAGGCTAAGCCAGCACTTGGGCTAGGTCAGAGCAGGGTGGCAGGTGGGTTCAGGGCAGCCAGAGACACAGAACTGCTCGGCACTGGTGGATGGCCCTCTCTGTCTAGACGATGCAACACCACCCCCCAAATAAGTTTCTTTCAATGACTGCACTACCTATTGGCTTCAAACGACAACAGGGAAAGATAGAGAGTAAATTCAAATAATTGTGTTAAAAATATTGCTGCTATTCAAAGTAAATGCTTTAAGATAGCCATAGATTAAAAGCAAATGAAATGCCTCCAAGGAATTCACATCATTTAAAAATATTTCAGAGCTATCCACATGGTCTCTTTCAAGTTCCTCACCTGTAAGCGCCCCCCTCCACTCACCGAATAATCTCTTTGCAACAGCCGATGGAATACTCATCCACAGCCACAAAGAGATGCAGGAACAATGTGTTCAGGGGCTGCACGAGAAAAGAGAAGAGGATTAAAGGCTAAGCCAGCACTTGGGCTAGGTCAGAGCAGGGTGGCAGGTGGGTTCAGGGCAGCCAGAGACACAGAACTGCTCGGCACTGGTGGATGGCCCTCTCTGTCTAGACGATGCAACACCACACAGTAGCTGAGTCATTTCACTGACTCTGCTCACCTCCTGTCCTCCTAGCTCAGAATTATTTACAGAAACAGGGATCATCAATGAACCCAGAGTGCCCGCCATTCCTCCTGCCCTCACAAATGGGCTATGGGCAGGGAAGGGCCTGCAGGGGAGTGACATCGATTATTAACTCAGTAGTCTTGACCTCAGGGGTGTCGATGCCAAGTGAAAGACAATGAATGGCCCATTTCCTGGGGCTCTTGAGTCAGCAGCTGTTCTCTGTGACAGGAGGGAAAGATTCTCTTGTGAATTTAAAGGATGGAGAGCAGATACCACGGATTTAACGAGCAATGGCTTGCTCTGCACGCCATTCTGGAGTCGGCGTCAAATATCACTCCTGGGCTCCAGAAAACCAGGAAGCTGAAAGTCAGAGTAGCAAGATTCTACTTTGATTTTTAAGGTTAAATCTTCCAAGTTTTTCGAGATCTTTGTCGTATATGGCCAAAGGCTTTTTAAATGGCCTACATAACAGATAATAGTTCTTAACATTCACAAGCCAGTCTGCTCAACTCATGTGTTTATGAGCAAATCTTCAAATTCTAGAAATGGTGCAAATGTGAGGTACATGAGGGTAGAGTCCACAGCAGGGGTGCTGTCTGTGTTTCTTGTTTCCTGAGTCATTTTCTAAATGGCCTTGAGTCACCAACTGCACATTCATGTGCCCCACTGCCACTTCCATTGGGGTGTTTGTGACTCAGCCCTCAGAGAAAATGTTCGGTGCCTAAATGGCAAAGGAAGACTCCAGAGTTTGACTCAGGAGCTTGAAAATTCCTGAAAGAGAAAAAGCACAAACCCCCAAAGTAGAACAATGACACAGTTTTAAGCACTTTCCATGTATTAATTCCTTTAATCCCCTATCGTTCTTAACATCTGCTTTACATCCTGAAGAGGACTAGTGTTTGAAGCATATGGTTTATTACTTGCTTGATTTGTCTCCCAAATGCTCTCTTCCATCAGAAATGTTACAATTCAATGTGTATTCTTTAGCTTAACATAAAAATGGTTATTTCCGTTGCAAATATCCCCGGGACAGGTAATACATGAAAACTTAAGGCTCTGTATCTGCACTAGCTGATAGAAAAAGAATGTGAGCCACAAATGTAGTTTTAAATTTTCTAATAGACATATACAAAAGGAATAAAGAGGGGCCAGCAGGTGGCATGGTGGTTAAGGCATTGGACTCCCACATGGCTGACCTGGCTTGAGTCTCAGACCTGGCTGTTTGCTTGAGCTTGCTCGCTCGCTCTCTCTCTCTCTCTCTCTCTCTCTCTCTCAGACGTGCATGCCCTATAGCAAAAATTTAAATTAAAAAAAAAAGTAAATAAATGATACTTCTAAAACTTAAAAAATAAAGAAAAACAGGTGAAATTACTTAATATATTTTATTTAACCTAACATGTTCGAATTATCACTTAACATATACTCAAGATAAAATTGTTAAAGAGATATTCTACACTCTTTTTTCCCTAAGCATTTGAAATCCAGTGTATGTTTTACACTTACAGCATGTCTCAGTCAGACTAGCCACAGTTCAATTACTCAGTAGCTCCCTATGGCTGGCGGCTACCATACTGGACAGCCCAGTTTGTTACCGCCATTAGCTGATAGAAAAAGAATGTGAGCCACAAATGTAGTTTTAAATTTTCTAATAGACATATACAAAAGGAATAAAGAGGGGCCAGCAGGTGGCATGGTGGTTAAGGCATTGGACTCCCACATGGCTGACCTGGCTTGAGTCTCAGACCTGGCTGTTTGCTTGAGCTTGCTCGCTCGCTCTCTCTCTCTCTCTCTCTCTCTCTCTCAGACGTGCATGCCCTATAGCAAAAATTTAAATTAAAAAAAAAAGTAAATAAATGATACTTCTAAAACTTAAAAAATAAAGAAAAACAGGTGAAATTACTTAATATATTTTATTTAACCTAACATGTTCGAATTATCACTTAACATATACTCAAGATAAAATTGTTAAAGAGATATTCTACACTCTTTTTTCCCTAAGCATTTGAAATCCAGTGTATGTTTTACACTTACAGCATGTCTCAGTCAGACTAGCCACAGTTCAATTACTCAGTAGCTCCCTATGGCTGGCGGCTACCATACTGGACAGCCCAGTTCTATACTGTTGGAGCAAGTAGTTTAGAAAGAAACACTCTTAAACAAGTGAGAAAAGAAACAGAAGGGGAAAGGGTTTATGAATAATGATGTTAATTTATCATTTTCAAGAAGGCATAGTCATATCCCTAATGCAGATATGAAATGAATATGTCAGAGATTTATTCAACTTCAATTCATCAATTAATGATACAAACTAGTAAGATGGTAAAAAACAATTCTGTGCACTTGAGAAGCAGGCTACACAGCTGATTTAATAAGGGAATATAAATTTAAGATTGCTGGGTTAGATACAAAATGGTTTATGTACTACAAAGCCGTAAGTCCCAACCTTCGAAGTTAGCTCTTCACCAGACAGGAACTATTTACATCTCAAAGAAACAAAAATATCTCTAGAGAACTGTAAAATAGCCCTGTCAATGGACTAACATACAGGGTATTCATGTTGGGAAAATTCAAATTTTCAACGTAAAGAAATACAGTGATGAAATTCAAAAATAATAATAATAAGAAAGTCCATCGAAGGTACAAGCATTGGACTAAAAGAATCTTTTTGCTCTATTTTCAAGCCTGAGGTCATTCTTCTCACAATAATACCTGGGAATAGAGAGTGGCCAGGTTAGAAGGGAGTACGAAAGGTATAAGCACCATGTGGCTGGATCAATGCTGAATAATTTGCACAGAAATGCATGCATGCATGCATGTGTACATGTACAAGTGCACACACATATGGGCAGTGTGTGTGTGAATCCACTCTGCATTCAACTGGATTCCCTCTCTTTCTGACACCAGGGCTCTGGGGACACACTACTGTACTGAGTTCCACCAACAGGCAAGGCACCTGCCTGGGTCACAGCCTCTGGCTCTCAGAAACAGGTCTGGCTCTTGGCCTAGCACTGACAGGCTGCGTGCCAGGGAAAGCTCTGACCTGGAACCAGGTACCCAGGCTGGACCCCCGAGACGCCCGACCTAGCTGCTGTGCGCTGACAGGTTGTCAGCTAGAAGAAATCAAATGAGCCAAAGTCTATAAGGGCACTTTGAAAATTATAGTGTGATATAAATCTGAGGCTTGGGTGTCATTATTCCAAAGGCAGATATGTAGATGACAGGTGCCCTCCTAGCATATAATGACCTTGGACATGAAAGCCTGAAGAACAATCCGAGACCCAGGAAGCACAAGTCTCACACATGCACTGATTTCCACTCAACCCCTCGTTAGGGAAGCACGAGTCAGGCCTTTACCAACACCTGGCTGATTTGGCTACTACCTCCCCTGTCTCCATACTTCTTTCCTCCTCTCCACCTAACTTCATTTTTTTTTCCCAAGAGACTTTTGCTCTAGAGCACATGTGCTCACTAGAGAAACAGAGAGACAGAAAGAGAAAAATCTACCCCCCCAGGGAGGATGGCCACGCCACAATCCCTTCTCCTCCATTCTCCTCTCAGGATTTTGGGTACTCATGAACACAAGTCCAGCATGAGTTTCAAGCCACTGGGTCCAGGACTCAAACCATGGTTGGCCACGTGGTAGTCCAGTACCTTAACCACTACACGACCTGTTGGCCCTGCTAACTTCATTTTTAATTGTCATGATGTCATATACTTTCTGTGTGAGTTGTTGAACTGCTCAGTTGAAAAACTAGGACTTCCCCTCAAAATGAAGGCTGTTCTATCGGCAGCTGATAACTCCATGAGTTCTTACCGTGCATGGGATTTCACTGTCAAGCTCACGGAACACCGACACCCAGTTGTCCTGCTTGGCAACATTCCAGTTGGGATAGTCCAGGAAGGTGGCCTGAGCCATGATCTCCTCCTTGTCATTGGAGAGGGTAACGGCAAGGTTGGCTTTTTCTCTGTGGGAATGATTAAAATTGCACTCACGAGTAAGAGAACCAAATGTGACTTGAGAACATGCCATGTTCTCCCTTCTCTAGCTCCTGGTGCTCAGGAGCCGCTGCATGAGATCTGATCATCTTCGGGACAAGATGTAAGACATAAGGAAAAATTCAATTAAATCAAATTAAAACAAGTGGGAACAATCCTGTCGCAACTTTGGGGGAAGAGCTTTCAGAATCTGGTGCTACCAGCTAAATATTGATTTAAAACTACCTTTCATTAGAAAGGCATCACATTGAGGACGTCAATACCCTTCCCTTGGAGACTGGCTAGGAAAATTATTTGAGTACACACTTTTCCCCACCCTCTCCACATTGCCAGCCACTGTGTCACCCTTAATTGGCAGAGTTAGGGTAGCCAACTGTCCTTGGCTCGGGACTGAAGGGGTGTGTGCCCAGGATATGGGACTTTCAATACTAAAATCAGTAAAGTCCTGCACAAACTGGGATGAGTTTGTCACCTACACACACGAGCAAAGCTGAAAGCTTAATTGCATATCTATTAGCCTTTAAGATTAATTTTCTCCAAACCAAAGACCACATCCCTGGACTGATTCATATGCAATCTGAGAAACTGTAGTATCATCCAAGTATCATCCAACCCAGCTGCAGAAACACAAAGGTGCCAGATCTTGCTTAAGTTAAGGCAGGTTAACCTGGCAGGTTAACAAAGCCGAGGGAAGAGAAGCAGGCCTTACAACTCTTAACTAGGTAGTAGATATCACATACATAGCTCATATGTAGCTTATTTATAATATATAGCTATATATATATATATATATATATATATACACATATAGATATGTATATACATACACACACACATAGCTTACATATAACTTATATATAGCTCTTATGTATATACAAATTGAATTGCAATTTTCACTTGTTCTCAGCTGAATGACACCTACTGGTATCTTAAATTGCAGGGAAAATATTTAAATATTCCTACAAAAAAAAAAAAAAAATAAAAAGGCAGGAATTACCCATTTTCCTGATTGAGGGGAATAGGGGGACGACTGCCTAAACTTCAAGGAGGGGGAAGAAAAGAGACAATGAAGAATAGACAGGAAACTGTACATGCTTTCCAGTCAGTACAGACAATGAGGAAATACAAGCCAGAAGAGAAAAAACTATTTTTGAAAAATCACCTTTAATTCCTTCTCCCATAACCAATCATTCTCAACATTTTGGTTTCTTGCTCTCCAGATTTAACCTCTTTTAAGGGTAGCTGTATGGTAAAGCGGACTTAGGCACATTTTTTTAGTGGAAGCATGTGGAATCTACATCCTTTTAGCCTGCTTCTCCAGGTCAGTGTATGAGCCTAACAGAGCAGGTCACTAAATACCAGTCTCTCACACATGCACACTTCCCGTGCTTTGACCTAATTTTCTCTTTAAATCAACTCACTTTTGTCTTTAAAAAGCGTATTTAAACAGGAAGTTGATATCAGTACCATAAATGGAAAACCAGTATCTTTCTAATCTAAAAATGAACATAGTAACACTTAAAACAAAACCGCCTGTATCAAGTAGGATGGCCCTGGTACCAGCTGGGCGGGCCATCTTTGAGAAATGGGGTTCTCTGACGTCAATCTCAGCACCTACAGCCATTGTTCCCTCTCTGAGGCCCGCAGGCAGCCACGTGTGATCACACCCGTGGGAGAAAGTACATATTTGGCAGCGTTTTCTAAGGGTGCTCAAGTCCTGTTCACGCCCCGGCTATTGAGGAAGGAGGCAGCCTGTCCCTCTGGTTTCTGTGGTATCCAAGCAGA